CCTACTGCTGGTTGCTGAGAAAAGCTCCTTCTCCACCTGTGACATCGTCTCGTGATGAACTGGCCCTTGAGGCACGGTGGGACTGGACCCACCTGCTTACAGCTTGTCCTGCTGACTCTAGAATGGACGGCCATGTCCATTCTCCATAGGCACATGGTTGAACGCTGTGTCTCTCTCCTCCATCCTGCCTGATGATGCTCTGACCCAGAGTGGGGGCATTTCCTCTCTACTCCTCCACGTCAGTCCTTGTACCACTTCAAAAATAAGGGATAGAGATGAGAGATCATTGGGAAGGCATGCTTCCTGGCTACGCACTGAAAGAGGAAGCCTCTGTTTCCGTCTGCCAGTTGTTGGGAGCAGTCTCATTTTTGACTGCCCCCACCCTACATTTTTTAACATTCCTGCGAATTCCTGGGTTCTTTCTAATACACAGGAAGTTAACACTGCCCCAAATCAAATTCTTTCCCAAGTCTTAAGCTCATGGAGACTAAGAGATAATGAATAATACTGAAGGCTAAATAGGTAACTCAAAAAAACTTAAACAAGCCAGACCACTCTAGAACCCTGCACTCTCTGTAACATTCTTGTCACTGACAAATAACACAAAGACCCAATTTTTGTATTTAAAAAAAAAAGCCAGTAAACGAGCCACACTTAACTTAGTCCTACACTAAATTTCTCTTGACTGGGAGTTTCCTCTTCTTTCCCTTCTATCTTCCAACAAACCATTCCATCTCCAACTCTGAGCCTGAGCATCTTCATTACTCTATAATTTCCATCCTTGAAATTACTGAAGGAAACTGGGAACCGTGGACCAACACAGAGACTTGCCACCACCATGCTTGCATCTACATCTGTTTAGCGGTAGTAAAGGGGGAGCACTCGAAACATCTGATGAAATGCTGCTCAAGAACCTAGTGCTCTGTATGTATGGCAACTGTTGTTAGGACTCAAATTCAATTTTAGAATAGAAAACATGTCAGCTAATTTGCCTCTATATGGCAGAGGAACTGCACATTCTCTTTCATCTGCCACCCAAAAGCACTCGATACAGACATGATGGTGGCTGTGATTTGGAAAGGAGAAAAAAACTTACTGCAGTCTGAGAGAAACATGCATGAAAGAGCCTATGGGCTCTGAGTGGCTAAATATTTAGGTAATTCATAAAACTGTATCTGTGTGTGTAGAACTTGTGTTTGTCTGGAGGGGGAAGGGATGAGAGCCAGGGCGCCCTGCAAGCGAAGACATGATCTAAATCACTGAAACCGTGGAAATCATCCCCGGCAGCAGGATGAAAACCTCACATTTACACCCCCTTTTCCTTTCCACTAAAAACAGTGCTGAAGGGAAAGGCAGGGCAGAGAGAGACGGCGCACACTCCCTTTGACCCTTCACATTTCTTCTCTCCTTTACAAAGTCAACATCTCTAGGCCCTCACACAAAAGGTGATAAGCCAGGACATTAGGCTGAGCCTCTGGACACTGCCTTGCAAGCAGGAAGCAGAACCAAGGCCCTACTTTGAGTTAAGCGGGCAAGCTAAAGCTAAAGCTAGTGAGTCCGAATGATCTGGAGAACTGCAGCATGTTCTCATATGCCCGCCTGGTCATACCTTATCTTGGCAGTACAAAGCAACAGTTTCTCCCTCTCTTACACACCCTTAATCTGGTTTGACCTTCAAGTATCAGTAGGAGCCTATGCTCTACTTCTCTATGCTCTACTTCTCTCTGTGTGTAACCGACCACAAGAATGTGGGGGATGTAATCTGTAAAGCCTACATGTCCAGCTCCGTATCTTCCTCTGACATTTTGATCATTGAAACATAGCTTTGACAACAGCTTTGACAGGACAATGTATACCCTGATGTTCTTTTGACGAATGCTTATCTTATAACTGTTAGCACTCTCGTTAGTGATTCGTTCTCTGTGATGCAGTCATTGGGATGTAACTGATAAAAAATAGTTGCTCTGCGCCTCGAGCCTGATCCACACCTTGGCCCTCCGTGCTCTCTACATTCCTCTTGTGTGTCTTGTCTCTGTGTCTTGTCTCTGTGACCGAAAGAATATTCACACAACAGGCAAGAACTGGGGAGGGAAAGGGCAGAACTGGGTGCAGGTGGAATGGGGTGAGGGTAGAGATTAATGGCAAAAGTAGGGCTTCAATTTCTCCTCCACCTCCAGGGGTCCAGGAGGTTAAATCACTTGCTGAGCATGACTCCATCCTACCTCCCACCGAAGGGTCCACGCGATTAGCATCACCTTCTTCCTAACGCAGACAACCAAAACACAGCCACAGTGCCCAGCAGCAGGTGGCATTCGCAGGGCACACCAAGCCAACGGCTTGTCTCCCAGTCTTCTACACTTCTGTTTGGGGGTAGTGGGACTCTTTCTCAGTGTAAAACTGCCATATAAATAAGTGTCTCCTATGAAGGACTTTCTGGCTGGGACCTACGCTTGGCGAACATTCCACTGCTGTGTGACAAAGCTCCAGTGCCTGGGTGGGTTACCATTCCCAGTTCTGATGAGGACAGCACCAACAGCAACACCAGCTTGTGAAGTGCTTACTATGTGTGCCATGCTACTCCGTGCCAGAGAAATGCACAGGCATGACCCTCTTTCATCACTGGAACAGTCCTACTAGGAGAATTATATTATGTGTCACCTTGTATAGATGAGCAAACAGAGGTATGAAAGATTAAGCACCATATTTTGCAGCAGAATTATCACACCCTGATTTTTTGGTCCCCAAACTGGGCAGAACTCTTTTAATCACACCATTACCACACAGTAGGATGCAATGATTCTATTCACGCTGCTTCAAAGGAACCCGAACAGCGACCTATTGACCAGCAGCCTACAGCTGCAAGTTCTTCTCGCACGCACTGGGCGCCTACAGCTCCCAGCCCAGGCAGCGGTCAGCACATTTCCAACCCACATCTCCCTTGTGTGGCTTTGAGAGCAGCAATACATGGGCACCGGTGCCAATGAGGGGTGTTTGTCTGGGTTCTTAGTACCTCAAAGGATTGAGCAAGAAACAAGAGGCCAGAGAGAGTCCAGCGGGCATGGTGTTTGCCTTGCACGCAACTGGCCCGGGTTGGATTCCCAGCACCAGTTCCCCCAAGCCTGCTATGAGGGATCCTGTTGTGAGCACAGAGCCAGAAGTAAGCCCTGAGCACCACCAAGGACAGCATAAAAGCAAAAGAAAAAAAATGTGGTAAAAGATAAAGAAATGCAGGAGTTTATTTCAGGGCCTTTTATTATGGCCTAAAGAAAGGCACACACGTGTGTGTGTTTGAGTGTGTATGTGTGTGTACATGTATGCGTGAGCATGCTTGTGTGTGCGTGTATGCATGCATGTGTGTGTCTGAGTGCGTGTACATGTGTGTGCATGTGTGCACATGTGCATGTGTGTGCACGCCTGTGTGTGCGTGTATGTGTGCATGTGTGTGGGTGTGTATGTGTGTGTGAGTGTGTATATGTGTGAATCAGGGTACTGTGCTGGGTGACTGGGAGTTCTTGGTGGTTCCAACGGCATGTGCAGTGTGGGGACAGGGTCCCTAGGGCGCTTCTGGTGGTGCTAGTTTCTCTACCTTATGCTGGTGTCTGTGTCTGGATGTCTGGAGGGCGGGTCCACCCCAGACACAGGCTGGCGATCTCTCCATTGTTTCTGTCCCCAAGCTGACTGCCTTGCTTAGTCACTCAATCTGGTTACAGGCACAAGATACATACGTTAACTAGAAAGCAGCATTTCTCTCTGATTGTGGGTAGCACTGTAGCACCGTCCTCCCGTTGTTCATCGATTTGCTCAAGCGGGCACCAGTAACACCTCCATTGTGAGTCTTGTTGTTACTGTTTTTGGTATATCGAATAGGCCAAGGGGAGCTTGCCAAGCTCTGCTGTGAGAGCGGGATACTCTTGTTAGCTTGCTGGGCTCTCCGAGAGGGGCGGTGGAATCGAACCCGGGTCGGCTGTGTGCAAGGCAAACGCCCTACCTGAGCCCCTTTTATATTTACCCACTGATTGTGGGTAAATAAAAAAAACTATTCTAGGGCTCAGAGTGATAGTGCAGCAGTAAGGTGTTTGCTTTGCATGAGGTGGGCCCAAGTACGATCTCTGTTCCCACATATGATTCTCTGAGTCTACCAGGAATGATCCCTGAGTACAGAGTCAGGAGTAAGCCCTGAGCACCATGGGGTATGACCCCCTCAAAACAACAACAACAACAAACAAACAAAAAGACACCCTACTATTCTTCAGGCTTCAAGCTGAAAGAGATGTTTGCTCAAAAGCATGGAAACAGAGCTGCAAAGAGCGCTTCTCTGGTGAGACTGGGGAAAACTAAAAGACAAGCTAAAATAACACAAAACTTTCTATGTGCACATTTGAAAGTCTCCAAACAGAAGTTTCCAGTCTACTGTGGAAAAGGTGCTAAGAAGTCAGTGAAACAGGAGACTGCGGTCCAGAGCTTTGCCCAGCAAAGTCTGGGCTACTCTGTGGCGTGGACCAACCCGGGCTCAGTTTCATGTAAGGATATATTTTAACTCTGGTACTATCTCTTCGGCCCCAAAGATAGAGATTTTTAGGAGTGATAGCACAGCAGGTAGAGCGTTCGCCTTACAAGCGGCCAACATGGTCGACCCGAGTTCGATTCCTCCGCCCCTCTCGGAGAGCCCGGCAAGCTACCGAGAGTATTCGATATGCCAGACACAGTAACAACAAAGTCTCCAATGGAGACGTTACTGGGCCCGCTTGAGCAAATCGACGATCAACGGGAGGGCCTTTACCTTTTACCTTTACCTTAAATTTAGATTACCAAGTCAGATTTTGTTGAATAGAGCAGGTAAGAAACCAATGATAATGATGAGACAGGAAAAGAAAGAAAATACACATACTGAAAAATAAAAATCAAGTATCTTCCCCCCACCCCGTCTTCTCCACGGTTGTCCATTCGTTGTCCATTCCTTCTCCTATTCAAGGAATCAGTCAAAATTTCAAAGCACTTACTCAGGGCTATCTGGATGTCCTTTTCTCCATTTTTTACTTCTGTCAAAAATCCCTTCAAAAATTTGAGACCTCTAAAAACAAAGAACAAAAAAAAAAGAAGAAATATTTTCAAAGTTTGCACTTGTTGGATATATATGAGGAAATAAATACCAGCTTCTTTTGCACTAATTTGGGCATGATGGTACAGTCAAGTTTGGGGGAAGCATATCACTGGGCACCCTGGACCCTTCTCATCTGATATACACAAACATTTGCTTTGACTTATGTTTTGGGGTGGTATTTGGGCCACACCCAGAGGTGCACAGGGTTTAATCCTGGCTCAGTGCTCAGGGATCACTTTTTGGAAGTGCTTGGGGACCTTATTAGGTGCGGGGGTTGAAACAAGGTCAGCCTTGAGCAAGGAAGATGTATTAACTCTATACTGTCTCTTTGGCCAATAAAAACACTTGTTTTGAAAAGTAAATTCACAGGCTAGAGAGATAACACAGCAGGTAGGGCACTTACCTTGCATGTGGAGGACCAGGCTTTGATCTGCCGCACCCCATACGGTCCCCTAAGAAGTGATTCCTGAGTGCACATCCGAAAGTAACCCCTGAGCATTGCCAGGTATGGCCCCAAAACAAAACAAAATAAAAAAAAGTGACCTCTGGACTGGCAGCTTTAACTTGGGAGCTGGGTAGAAATTGGTTGGAAATGTATCTGGGGACCCAGATCAGACACCGAATCAGAAATCTGGGCTTGGGTGGGGCTGGATCAATGTGTTCTTACACTCTCCAGGTGAGTTGGATACCATTCAAGTTTAAGATCCACTGAGGAAAGGAGAAACCGGTGAATATTATCATCCTTAACTTAGCGGTAGGGTGTTTGCCTTGAGCGCAGCCAGCCCGGCTGAACCAGGTTCGATTCCTCTGCCCCTCTCGGAGAGCCTGGCAAGCTACCGAGAGTATCTCGCCCGCATGGCAAGTATTCAATATGCCAAACACAGTAACAAGAAGTCTCAAAAATGGAGATGTTACTGGGCCCGCTCAAGCAAATCGATGAACAACGGGAGGACAGTGACAGTGACAGTGACAGTGAAGAGTTCCATCAAACACATACAATGAATAGCAATATTTATCACCAGCAAGAGGTGGGCAAAAGAAGGGAAAAAAGTGTTCCATTCTTCAGGCCTTCTAGAAAAGACTATGCAATTGGCTGAGGCCCTTCACTCACAAACAGTACTGAAGAGTAATTTTTTTTTTTTTTTTTTTTTTTTTTGTGGTGCCATTGCTCCTGAATCCAGCTTTCCCCACAGCCCGCCCGGGCAGCTCACCTCTTCAGCCACAAGAGGGCTTCAGTGGCCGAGTTCCTGACCTGGGCCTCATCGGTCTCCACTTCATGCAGCACTATCTTCTGGAGGGTGGTAAACTCTTCCTTGTTGGTTATGTACTTCTGGTTCACTTTCTGCAGCAAAGGCGGGGAGACCATCAGAGTTGAAATGGAAAGGCTATAAAGCAAATCAGGATACTACCAAGACTTCTAAGTCCAGCCACAGACCTCTAAGAAATTATGGTATAAAGTTAGATTCTATACCATGACTCCTATGTTTTTAAGCATGTCTGATTTTTTTTTTTTTGTCTAAGAATTCCATGAGGCTTAAGCTAGAATTGACTAATCTTAAGGATTAAAAGTAGTATGTTTTCATGTTTCAGAATCTTTTCCTATTTCAGAATTTTTCCCACCGCTGAAAGATACTTGTCAGACTGAGTATTACAGTTCAATCATTGTGTCTCTGAATTAGATTTCACACCCCTATCCACCCCAAAATATACAGTCTCCACAGAGACAAGCCAACACACTCACCTTAATATTTCCAACAAGATCCATTTTAACGGGAGCAAACACTGTAGAACCAAGTTTATCTAGGAGAAAAGGTTGAAAACATTTTCCATAAAGCCACTTATTCAAGTGGAAAACATTTTATATTAACAGAGACTTAATGGCTCTTTCTCCCCCAAATTTCTTTGGCACCTAAATCACTTTTGAAATGTAAACTTTGAAAGCTTCTGAAATACTGTCAGCCCTCTTTTCTATTATGGTGCTCTGAGGTGAGTGAGCAAAGTAAGGTTTTAAGTGTCTATGAGATGAAGACATTATTTTCTTCTCTTTTCTTTGGGGTGGGGGCTGGGTTTTGGGGCCACAACCAGCAGTACTCAGGGCTACTCCGGGCTCTGCATTCAAAGATCACTCCTGGCAGTCGGTGCTCAGGGAACAATATGAGATGCTGAGGATTAAAGCCAGGTAGGCCACAAGCAAGGCAAGTGCCCTAGACACTGTACTATCTCTCCAGGACCCTGGAAAAAAATTACTTTTCACAGTAATTACTCAGCAAACAGGAGAAAGAAACCTCATATAACATGTTAGAACTAATTTCAAGATGATCACAGATGTCAAGAAAAACTATGACTAAAGAATACTGATGCTACAGACTATAAGAAAATTACTTAACCTTGGAGTAAGCAAACATTTACTTAGGGTACATAAAGTAGTAAACAGGAAGTAAATAAAGTAGATAAGTGTAATTTTGTAAAAATTAAAATTTTCTGATCACTCAGATATGTTCTGGGGAAAATATTCATAGTGTATTAGTCTACAATAAAATGTTGTTCAGAATAAAGAAGTCATACAACTCTACAAAAGTAAGAGTATTAAACAACTTTTAAAAATGAATTAGAGGTCTGAGCAGGTCTCACATTCAAAGAGAAGGCGAAGAACAATAATTACATAGAGAAGTACTCAATGTCATCAGTCATCAGGGAAAAGCAAACAGACACAGTGTGATACCACTAAACACAGGAGTTACCCAAATCCTAAATACTGATACCACTAAGTGCTCGTGGTTCTGTGGAACAATAAGAATTACTCATACCCAACTGTTGAAAACATGTAATGTGCAAATACTTTTTTTAGAAAATGAAATTTATGAAACTATGTAATAGCAACACCTAGATATTACTCAAAATAAAGGAAAAGACACAAAAATGTTATAGGAAATTTCATTCATAATTACCCAAATAAGAAACTATTCACCAGTGGAAAGACAAATGAAAAAACTGTGTTACAACCATTGCTGGAATATTATACAGCAATGAAAAGTAAATCACAGCCATCTGTCATATAGATAAAAATGAGAGAAAAATTAAACCAAAGGTTTAAAAATATAATTACATTTATGAGATTTCAGGATAGGCAAAACTAATCTATCATGACAAAGTTCAATAAAATGGTTGCCTCATGCTGAATAATAAACGAGGGCACAGGACATGTTAAGGGGATAAAAATATTCTATGTATTGACAGGAATATGGACAGCAATAAGGTAGTATAACAAAGGTAAGCACATTTGTCAAAACTCTGAATCAGAAGGTCTCTTAAAAAAGATACAGGTGATAGGCCAGAACCAGAGTACAGAGGATAGGGTGTTTGCCTCGTACCCAGATGACCCAGGTTCGATTACCAGTACCCTGTATGGTCCCCCGAGCACGATCAGGAGTGATCCCTGAGTGCAGAGCCAGGAATAAGTTCTGGGCACTGTGGGTGTGGCAAAATAATAAATAATAAATAAATAAAGATTTTAAAAGATACAAGTGGCCAGGAAATGAGGCTATTGGCTATTACACCTATCTCAAACACATAGGCAACAAATCCAACCCAAGTTACCAACTGCATGCACCACCTGGGATCCTGGCAGCTCCGCAGTCTGTCATTTCGAGCCTCGCCACAGCTAGATGTGCACAAGCAGTGGAACTAAGGGATGCTGAACTAAAGGATGCTGCGACCACAGAGAAAAGGAGGAGCAAGTACCGGGGCCAGGGATGCAAGCACTGCAGGCCAGTGGGGAGCACCACAAGCTGCTGTGTGTTCCCAGCAAGGACCACAACCGTGTGTCAGATCCCTCAGTCACTGCAACAATGGAAGTCAACAAAGGAGAGGAATTGGGTGGGTGGGGGTGGGGGAAGATACAGAGCTGAATGATTCCATTGGTTGTTTTTTGTTTTGTTTTGTTTTGTTTTTAAGGATATATGAGAGAGAAGAAATAGAAGACAGAGAGAGGGAGGTCCACATAGAAATCACCCACACCGCTTGGAACCTGGTGACTCCAGGGCTGGGTGGACGCCGGCATCTTACTGTTCCAGCATTGGTTTCAGAGGCCATTTATAGGAATGCCTGGCTTAGGGGCTTTCCATGTAGGTCAGAGTTCATTGCTAAGGTATTACCAAGGAGAAAGGATTCGGAGTGCCATGGATCGTCTGCGTCTACAGTCCTACCAGGCCTCACTTGCATCCTGCTGACTTCTTAGTCCACTGAGAGCGAAGCCATAGAGTTTGGACTGGGCCCTGGGTCACCTTGGCTTGGTGCCTCCAACTGGTCTTAAGTCTGGGCTGGGTCACCTGAGCTCTGAGCCGAGGCTGCAGGACAGGTCAACCTTGAGGGAGTCACCTCTCTCCTCCTGGATATTTTGTCGCAGTTTCTTCCCTTTTCTCCTGGCTAGGTCACCAAAATGCCATCATTGGGAGACTATCTGCCTGGTGGGGGATGAGGGCTGGTGACGGGATCAGGCCCAGCCACGCCTGGGTTCAACGTCTTGCCTCTAAGTCACAGAAGCGAATTTATAGAGACGATTAATAGTGGAATAAAATAGTTTTATTTTGGAAACGTGAGAGAGATGACGGAGCCCTATAAAGTCAAAGAAAAGAACAGGAGACAAGTGATTTCAGACGGGAATACCTGCACAGAAAATTCCAAAACATCTGTGACCCTTCTAGTCATACTGATTCTGTAAAAATAAAATTCAGCGGGGCTGAAAACAGCTGATGGCAGAGAACTTTGGCGTAAACACACCAAACCTTGGATGAATCTACACAGAAAGAGACCTGAGATGCACCATGAACGAAGCCTTCCCAGCACGGCAGGAAAGGAGAGCACAGTGGGGCAACAGGCAGTGATCTGGAGAGACCTAAACTGTGTGGCTTTACCCCAGGAACTTTGGAGGCTTGCACGTCACCCGGTACCTGAATCCTCTGATCCTATACGTGCAACACTGGCACAGGAGTAGGAGGGCATCACTGGGCATCAGCATTGCTGGCAGGCACCCTGCTGATGACCGCTTATAACCCTGCTGGTAACAGTGCCAGGAAGTGGTCTTTTGGATGTCACTCTCCATGGCAACAGACTCAGCGGGCAGATTACTGGGGAGAGCTCCACCCACCTCTAGCAAATGCACTGAGAGCAAACTGGGTGCTAGGAGACAACTGTCAAGGGTGTCTGCTCCCAGCAGACAAACCAACCCGGCGCCTCCCAGTCTACAGATGACTGCAAGCAAGAAATCACATCCCGACATCCAGAAAGCGCACGGTGGTCCTCCCAGAGCAAGGCAGCTGGCAAGGGGCCCGCCCCATTCTCTGTTCCCTGCCAGACATAGTGTGTGCCCTATGACAGGGACTGTGGCCCGCTCCAGACCCACCCCTGAGAGGCTTCCAGAGCAACTGCCCACATCTGGTGTGAGCATTACAGGATAAAGGCTGCCAGGTATGGGGGACCCACATCCTGCCTGCTGCTCCAGACCGCTCACCCTCAGCTCTATGGCATCTGGGCACTCCCGCTGCCACAGGGCATCGCAAACTCCTGGTGGGCCCTCAGGCCAACTTAAGCCTGCAGCCAACACTGCCGCCTGGTAGCAATGGTGCTGCAGCCCTGATCTTGGCCCAGACAGGCTTGAACACGGACATGTGGACGGACCCCAACACAGCACCAGAACTAAGCAGGAGAAAGAGCAGTGATCTGCTTGGAGTCCTAGCAGGAACACCAAGTGCAACAGAGTCAGGAAAACTCCCCAGAGACTTGGAAGCAACAATCCGAATGATGCTCATTAAAATGACAGCATCAAAGGAGGGGCGCACTTCTTCCAAGAACAGTAGGTATGCGGAAAGACAGTATAAGAAAAGTTCTAGCAGAAATCAGAGAGTTCAAAAATGTAGCAGCTTTCAGGAATAGCCCCCGAACACTGCCAGGTGTTTCTCTACCCCCGACCCCCCCAAAAAATAATCTTGGTGTACAGGAAAGAATAAGAACAAAGGAACAAATGGGATAACAATCCCCGAATTCACATACAAAAAAAGCAAATTCTTCAAACCAATAATTTCACTAAATAGCAAGCAAGGGTTTGAACTAAATCAAAAGTGACTGGTTAGGAAACAAATCCAGGGACAGGAGGACAGAGCAATGGGCAAGGGGCTGGCCTATGTTGACTGCACTGCTATTTACAATCACAAATGTCTGGGAACAACCCAAGCCACTGGATAAAGATGATGCAGTAAATATACATCACAGAACACTGCTCTCTACCAGAAAAGATGAAATCTCGCTACAATGCAGATGTACTTGGCAGGGGTCACACTTAGCAAAGTCCGTCAGAAGGAGAAAGAAAAACACTGACACTCTCAGTTATCTGTAGCATGCAACAAAACAAACAACAACAAATGAACAAAAAACTAAGGGAACAAAGCCCAGCAAAAATAAACTCTTTTGCTTCAACTGCAGAACTGAGGTCACCAAAGGTAGGGGACTGAACTGAAGGTGTATAAAGGCCAGAGAGATGGCAGTGGAGGGAGGCTGGCATTTTAGTGGGTAAGAATAAGGTTTCCCTATACTCTTAAAGCATAAATATTTATAGCTTATAAATCAGTGTTGCTTCAAGATAAGTAAATATAATTCAAACAAAATAAATGTATGTGATATACATGATACATATAATGTGTGTATATATAATATCACTTGGTATATATATAATTTTTGATTATACAATTTTTTTTAATATGTGAAAGATAATTTTCAATGGTAAAATCTTTTCTTTACTGGATCAACCTTTCTGGAGGTATATGCCTCAACTTTTCATCACTTCTGTTTTGCATGGCTTTTATGCGTGTAAAAATGTTTTTGTCTGACTTTTTAGTAGCTTTCTTCATTTCCTCTGTGACGTTTCAAATCACAATATAGCTGTGGACATTTAGAAATGAAAACTATTAAATAATGTTCAGGTCATAAGTAAGTGTTTGGTGATACAAAGAGTTAGCTAAGGAGAGGTCTCCCAGAATAGCCAGCTCGGGCGGTGGCTCCCGGCAAGACACTGCGGTGAGAAAGTCATGAGAGGAAGCATCCCAGAACCCAGACACCTTACCCAGTACCGGAACCACAGCATAACAGGAGGCCAGGAATGCTTCTGTGGGGATGCCACTGTCTTCCAGAAGTTCAATGTCACTAAAGCTGAATCATTTGGTGCACAGAGGAGAAAAAGATGGGAAATACCACGTGAACCGCCTGTAGTTCAGAGTTCATCATGAAAATAAAAACAGCTGCTCCTCTGAAGGACCAAGCAGTTAGCCCGATGCCATGGACTGGCTCCAGGGGCAGTTAGTGTTCATTTGTTTTGTAATCATAATGTACTCAAATAAAGCAATTTTACAGAAGTAATTCACCAAAGCAAACTAAAAATTTATTCTTTGAGTACGCTCTCACAATCCAGTCACTGCTCCGACAAAGTAAATGATAAAGCAGATAACCAAGTATACCATGTTATCTATTCTATTAGAATATCTCATCACTTGACATGAACACTGAGACTGATCTTCCAGAAGAAAAACTGGTACCAACTATCAGTCATATTAGAGAGTGTACATTACCTGGTGTTCATGGTACTAAAGAAAGTCGGGATAACTTCTTGACCGTCTTCCCAGTGGGATTCCGGAGAGTGACTGGTGGAGATGGAGCCAGGCTGTGGCTGGTTGCTGTCAAGATTCCCCAGGTCTTCATCTCCATCTTCCCTCATTATTTCACCTTGGACTGCAAAGTATAATATATGCATTACTGACTTAATCTATTTTTATTATTAATATCAACATCTTACTTGTTGAACATTTTATTATTAATGCCGACATATATTAATCGTTGGACACAGATAAAAAAATCTCAAACACAAACATAATTGGGCCACATATATGGAGAGATTTGTAGCCCACTTAGTTCAGTGTGTCCTAACCTTTCTCATTATCATTCAATACAGCGCCACACATAATTTTATAATGGCGTGCTATTGCATCATGCTCATGTGGAGGATATCTGGTGGTTTTAAAATTTTAGTATTTTAATAATTAACAGTTGACTTTCTTCTGTATTTGTGAATTTGCCTACTTGCTAAAATTTACTTTTTATTCTCAAATCAACTCTTGTGCATTTTGCTGGAGATGTGCAATTGTGAAAAAATGTTCACTAACCCATACTTCCAACCAAGTTGGCATTACATTTTGTTTCCTACTCTCCTACTGTGCAAGGGTCTTCACTGAGTGTTCTGTTCTTTGCATTTCTTACACATGTTGTTGATTTCACTGTTTAAAATGGGCCCAATAAGGGCTGGAGCTATAGTACAGCGGGTAGAGTGTTTGCCTTCCACACAGTCAACCCAGGTTTGATCCCCAGCATCCATATGGTCCCCCAAGCACCACCAGAAGTAATTCTTGAGTACAGAGCCAGGAGTAACCCCTATGCATCGCTGGGTGTGACCCAAAAAGCAAAAATAAATAAATAAATAAAAATAAATGGGCCCAATAAGCCTAGTGTTCACTAATGTTCCTGTGACAGAAGGCTATCATGTGCCTTATGAGGAAATACAGTGTTTGTTCAGATACATGTCATGGTAGCAGTTGATAGTTCAATGTTAATGGATTAACAATATCAATAATATATATAATTAGATAACAAAATGTTATTGATCTATTTTCTGCAGTGCCAGAGATTAAAGTTAGCATCTTGTGCATTCTAGACATTTATAAGAATATATACTGTTTTATAAATAATAAACTATGCATTAGTTTATTGTATATAATAATAAATCAACAATATATAGATTAGAATTTCTTTAAACAGAAACACCCACAAAGTAAGGGTACACAATACACAAATGACAAACATGCTGTGACCAGATATCTATAGGCCCCTAATCCTATACTTACCTTACCCTGGGACCAATATTTTATTTTATTTTTTAAAATGAATCACTGTTGAGATAGTTACAGACTTACAAATTTTCATGATTACGTTTCAGTCATACAATGATTGAGTTGTTGTAAAACATGGATTTCATGTTTTACCTGTCATGTTTTACCTATCCCTCCACCAGTGCCCATTCTCCACCTCCCATGTTCCCCATATCCCTCCCATCCCTGCCCCCCTCCTCTGTGGCAGTCACATTCCCTCTTGCTCTCTCGCTCCTTTTGGGTGTTATGGTTTGCAATACAGGTATCAAGCGGCCATCATGTTTGGTTCATAGTCTACTTTCAGCAAGCATCTTTCATCCCAAGTGAGCCCTCCAAATATCATTTACTTAGTGGGGACCAATATTTTAGTATTGACTAATTTAGTGTCTGCATAGAGATTACATAGACTTTTACATACATATAGACTTTATACACAGACCATAACTCTAATTTAAAAAATGAGGACTGGTCATAATGTCATAAAGAATGCCTCTGTCCACAGATATTTTTCCTTACGTGTGACTATTTCCTGAAAATAAATTTCTAAAAGTAAAATTATTCCGTGAAATAAATGAACAGCACTGCTTTGATCAAAATTCTTCTTTTTTATTCAAGAGATAAAAATTCAATAATGAATAGATTGATTTCTTGTGATTAGCAAGTAAGAAAGGGGGCCAGAGACATAGAAAAGTGGGGCGGGCACTTGCTTTGCACACAGCTTCCTAGGGTTTGATCCCTGGCAGTTCATATGGTTCCTTAAACCCCGCTAGGGATAATTCCTGAGTGCAGAGTCAGGAATAAGTCCTGGCCAAAATAAGTAACAGGTAAAAAAAATTCACCTTATATCCATCTTCTTTCTTCCCAACTCATCTAGAACTTATTTGATGTTAATTGATGGGATTTATTATTTGTTATTTGATGGGTCTCTTATGTGATAGGAAATAAGAAGTAAATTTGTTTTATTTTCAAAATATTTACGAAGCACTTATAACAATGAAAAGCTCCACTATGGTGATCTTGAACTGACCTGAAATGGCTTTTAGTGATGAGCCACTAAAGAGATCAACAAATCTAAAAGGGCATCACTTCCCAATCCAGCCTATCTCTGGCTTGAAGACCCAGAAGGCAGAGGAAAACCTGAAGGGGCTGATGAAGCCTGAGATCCCGGTACCTCATCAGCAAGAGGGGAAAATGACAAAACAGACCTGCCATCAACTTCACATACTCCAGCACTGCAATCAGAGTTTAACTGCAGAGGCCTAGGAGGCTCCCCGGAAGTGGCACACTCCTGCTCTCTAAACAGGCAGCAGAGGCCAATACTGTTCCTGGGGCATGTGAACATCCCAGCCAAGAGCCTCCTCTTCATTCTGCCTTCTCTCTCACCACCAGGTCAGGTGGGGGGCAGAAAATGGCCAGGCAACCGAGTCAGTGTCCTTTTTTAGGAGATACCAACTCCAAGGACTTGGGGCTAATCGTCTGAAAAGTCACATCCCAGATAACGAATAAAGCCCCCCAGTTTGTTCGGTGATTTGCTACAAACATGGATTTCATGTTTTACCTGTCATCGAACCCTCTGTGTTTTCTTCACTCGAGAGATTGCAATCTATCTCGGCGGGTTTCAGATACAAGGAGCTCTTACTTTTCACTAGGATTTCTTCATCGCCATTTATTTCCATAATGAAAGATCCATTTTCACAACTGTTCAACTCCGTTGGTCTGAAAAAGTTTTTAAAGGAAAAAAATACCCACAAGTCCAGTTATTTGGTCCTAGACTGACTGCCAGGTGGATCTTATGCTGAGGGATGGGGTAAGAGGTCACCATTGCGAAATCCTTTCAAACATCAAAGTAAACACAACATTGCTCAGTCAAGCCAGAGCTCTCAGACTCCCACCTCCAGGGCAGGGGTCCATCTGTCTGGGTTGGGAGCAGGAATATTTCCCAGCAGAAAACCAGAAAACAAAGCCACTCGGAATTCTGCAAGTGACCTCAGCTGACTCAATCTTCCTGCACCCCAGCCGGGCCAGAAACAGTCACCAACAGCAAGGGGGTCCTCAATCAACTTTCTACATGCAGAACACTGCACACTCTTCTCACTTTCTCAGCTTCTCCCTTGGAGGCTTTTGGTCCTTCCTCAGCTTTCAAAACCACTGACATGGTTTGCTTGGCAGTTGAACTGTCTAGAGGCCAAGCAGCTGTGTGAAATGCCTCTGACCAACAGGATGGAGCATGTCTAGGAGGGGAGAAGCTGCAAGTACAGGCTCTATCCTCAGGCCCTGGTGCAGGAATGAACGTTTAGCATGCAAGTGGAATGACCGATTCTGTCAAAGGACATTCCTAACAGCCTCTCATAAGTGACCAGATGCAGCCGAATTAAAACCAAATATCTTATTCTAATAAAAATTAAAATGGAATGCTATTTGATGATTTGAGAGAAAGAATTTATTTCTAAAAGAATACCATATTTTGCTAGTAATTAAAAAGTGTAGAAATATACTGAGAAAATCTACCCGTCAAAATCCACAAAGATTTTCCTAGTAAGAATATATAGAGCAGAGCAAGTTGTTAACAGCTGCTAAAAATGAACAATAACAACAAAAAAACCCCCTATATAAACAAAAAAACACAACATGTACCAAATGGTGTCACTTGGGCTAATTCCTCATAATCCAAATGAAATTTAAAATTTAACCTAGTAGTGATTTCCATCTCTACTACAAATATAATCTTTTTGGTTTCTGGTTTCTTAGCTACAGATGGCTATGCTCAGGGCTTATTCTTGGCTCTGTACTTAGGGGTCACTCCTGGTGGTCACTCCTTGCCACATGCAAGGCAGTACCTTAATCTCCAAACTAGCTCTGTGACCAGAACTTGGATCTTAATCCAGGAATCTAAAAAGTCCTGATCATAGAATCTGCCCCCAGGAAGACTGAAGGGGCACTGGGGAAATTCCTCCCTTACCCCCTGGGTTCTTCTTGAGCTGGCAGAGCAAACAAATGGGCAACAGAAAGATGAATATGAGAAAAAGAACAAGTTCAATTAAATACACATGGCGAGTTTTACACATGGTCATAAATTCGGCAGAGAATGAGATAGACGGAGGGTTTGTGTTCTGCGCTCCGGGCTGGGATCAGGAGGAGATACAGGGGTCTCACAGGACAAAAAGAGGGAAATTTAGATGTCAAAACTAGACACTCGAGATCAGAGATTCCCAATTTTAGCAGGAATACACCCCTCTGCAGAAAAGCACTCACCAGGCACCTTCGTGAATTCCTAGATTTAGGTAAACATACAGTGCTCCCTTGCACCTATGCCATTAAGCACCCCTGCTGGATGTTCTAGGCTAGGGTCTGGGGTGGGAGTGGGGCAGTATCCCTACTTTGAGAAATTGCTCTCTGATATTCGTTCCTTCTTTTTTTTGCGGGGGGGAGGTGATAGGGGTTGATGGGGTGGGTTTGGGCCACACCCAGCTGTGCTCAGGGATTACTCCTAGTTCTTTGCTCAGAAATCATTCCTGTTGTCACTCAGGGGACCATACGCGGTGCCATGGACAAGGCAGGCAGCTTCCTTAGCCACTGTGCTATCTTTCCGACCCCCACCCCCCCAAGATGAACATTTTTGGAGGGGCCTATCCTTCAACCCTAAACCAAGGCCTCTTAAATTTTGCTCAATCTTGATCCCTCTTCACTTGAGAAACTTCTACATAACCCTGGGTATACAAAATCAGTATACAGAGAGAACAGGTATTGCTAACGAATCATACATTTATTTTTAAAGGAAGGTTTTAAGACCCTGCTCCCAACATGATGACCTCTCAGTGTCTGTATTGCGGACCATGATGCCTCAAAGTAGAGAGAGAGTATGGGGAATATTGTCTGCCATGGAGGCAGGGGGAGGGTGGGAAAGGGGTGGTATACTGGGGAGATTGGTGATGGGGAGAGATGGGTGTTTGATCATTGTGTGATTATAACCCAAACATGAAAGCTCGTAACTATCTCATGGTGATTTAATAAAAATAAAAAAAAAAAAAGAACCCATCCCACCCGCAGTTTAGAAAGCTGAGCCCTAAAGGAAGTTGAGCTTGCCTGAAATAATGAACTCTTGACTAGTAACTGCCTTCTCTTGCTCCCTTCTTCCTAGGAAAGCTTTCACTCTTCAGAGCTCCTTTCTGGCTACTAGATGCGCTGCTGAATTCGACAAAACTTACTCAGCTGAATTTAACAGAACCAAAATGGGATCAATCACTGTGCTAAAGAAGCAAACAAGTACAGAATGGGACATTAATCATTTGAAAGGACAAAAGCATTGACTATGTCAAAACATCAATGGCATGGTCATCTGACCTAACCAAATATAAAGATATTTATTTATTTAATAATAATAAATTAAATGAATAAAAATAATAAAGACAGTTTTTTTTCTGGCCATGTGCATTTAGAGATAAAATAGTTTCAATTTTAGAAGTTCTTTTTTTCAACCTTGGAAAGCGACACAAGATTTTTATTTTTAAGATGTTTTATTTCTAAGCAAAACAAAGCAGTGCTGCCTTTTCTAAATAAAATTGTACTTTACTCCATGCTTAGCCCCTCCCAAGAAAGGAAGTCCCAGACCTCATTATACTAGAGTGATGAAAAGTCACTGGATGTGATAGGTGAGACCCCTATCCTGGGGAAAACGCAAGCACCTTCCCTGGTTGCTGGTGACGAATGAAAGTTCTCCACAACCCAAGGTTCACCCAAGAGAAGAAAAGGAGACTGCTTCTGTCTGGTATTACTCAAATCACAAAAAAACTGCGCACAATTCAAATATCTTTATTTTTAAAACTAGAAATATTCTTTTATTTTTTAGAAAGAAGAAAAACAAAAAAAGGTTACTGTACCTTTCCAATGAATTATGAATCGGTACAATAGGATGTTTCATCTTTAAAAGAAGCAAAGAAAGGAAAGTTTACATGTTGAACTTTCATCACATATAAAGTGTGGTTAACATGACTATATCACACACTGTCCTACTCAACAGGAACAACTGAAGATCCCTCCAAAAGAAGGGGGTCAATGATTCTATGCCATGCTTCCTCTTCATTCAAATACATTCCCCCCATTTCTTTTTTTCTTTGATTTTTCTTTTCATTTGGCAGTGTTCAAGACTTTCTCCTGGCTCTGTGCATGGGGATCACTTCTGGTGGGCTTGGGGGACCATATGGGATGCTGTGGATAGAACCTGGGTTGGCCACATGCAAAGCTATTGCTCTACCCACTGTGCGATCACTCCAGCCCTATGTACCCACATTTCTAAGGAAAAGAAGTTAATCTTTAGCAGGGCTAATGATCATAGCTGAACTCTTAGAAGAGTTGGTATTCTTATGGCTCCTTAAACATTAATAAATACCAACCTATGTTGCAACACGGTAACAAGCAGTAAAAAGCCATGGTAAAAAGCCACAAGTATTGGGAGTGGGGGTGTTTCTGCCCTTAAGATAATTTGAATATAGAACAGAGATGAAATAGGGGTCCCCAGAGAGGCATTCTCGGCCCCAGTGTGGGATTCAGGGAAGGAGAGATGAAAATCTTGCGGACAAACAGAGCTAACAGGGGGAAGACAAGTGAGAGAGCATTCATAGCACTGGGATGTGGCACAAAGATGAGAGGGGAAATATAAGCAGTTGATGTGGTCACACCAGGTAATGAAGAGAGGGAAAGGCTGGAAGGGACCATGAGATTCTGACTTGAATTTGTAGGTAATGCCAGAGTCACTGACAGGTCTAGGCAGAGAAGCCCAGTTTACAGTGTGTGGAGAGAAATGCCACTGGCTCCCCAGAAGGGTCAGGATGATGACACGTAGGCCACGGCAAATCTAAGCAAGCTTCCCTGGGCAAGGAAGCTGGAGAGGAAAGGACAGCTGCATTGGAAACATGTTTTGGAGGTAGTGTTGCCCCAAAAAACTGGACTGGGGAGACTGAGGGCAGATATGAACATGGACATTCTTTAAAGTCCATGAAAAATACCTTTATGGTGACCAAAGGGTGATGGAGAACATAGTCCATCACTTTTTTTTTTGCTGTTTTGGGGGCCACACTGAGCAGTATTCAGGGCTGACTCCTGGCTCTGTGCTCAGGGATTATTTCTGGAAGGGTTGGGGGACTGTGTGTGGTGCCAGGGATTGAACCAGGGCCCGCTGTGTGCAAAACCGGAGTCTTACCCCTGTATTATCCCTCTGGCCTTCTATCACTTAACTCCCCACCATCTCATTATGCCCTGTTTTTGCCGAGCCAAGCAGGGCTGTTACCTTGTTGGACTTGAGCCTGCCCAGCTGTGGTGATCCTGGCGGGGTGCGATAGAGGAGCTCTGAGGTAAAGGCTGCATTGGCAATCTGCATGCATTCCTCCAAAGTCTTCAGAAAGGTGTTGCATGTGGATTTCAGCAATGTGCCCACGTGAATTCCCTCCTACAAAACAACCAGAGTGGAATTTTACCTTGTCAAAAAAGAAAGAGCCCAATTGTGGAATGTCCTTAGATGTTTTAAACTCAAGATCGCAACTTATCCACCTGTTTCCAAGGTACAGATGAATTATGAAAGACAAATATGCAGATGAATTATAAAATACAAACACTAAGAACAATTTAGCTACCAATCTGACCCTTCACCATCACTCCTTCACCACTTCCACTGCAGGCAACAATATTAAATGCCACTGCTCCAGGTAAGGGGAACGAATCTCTCCAAGAGTTCTTAGTCTGTAAAGGATGACAGACGTAAAACAGGACATCACAGGCTAGTGTGATAGTATAGTGGATTGGGCCTTGCCTTGCATACAGTTGACCTGGGTTCAATCCCCTGCATCTCATATGGTCCCCTAAGAACCACCATGAGTAATTCTTGAGTGCAGAGCCAGGAGTAACCCCTGAACAACACTGGGTGTGACCTCTCCCCCCCAAAAAATTTTTAAAGGAAAAAAAAAAAAGAAAATGTCTCCCACTACTTAAGTGAAAGTGAGATTCGAAAATAGCAGCACTAGAAACCACAACTCACACATAGTTTGATTTCAGGGTGCACTTTTTAGCCTTCAACACTCATAAGTTTAAGAGGATCCAGCAACTGGATTTACTTTGAATATATAATTATTTCTATTTCTTTCCCTCCAAGTTATTGAACTTGTTTCAAGTGGTTTCTTCTAGAATAATTTAGAAATCCACGGAACTCCTATAGTTTGACATTTGACACTTGAGTCAAATTCCTATAGTTTACTAATATTAATTACTGATATTGATGTCCACCCAGGAATCTGAGGCCAAGCCTGACGAGCAAACATGCCTACTACATCTCAGTGTGATAAAGGACAACCTGGGTCCAAGATGAAGTTACTCATGCTAAGTGTCACATTGAAACATTAGCAAACCAAAGCCTGAAATGGTATTTTGTTTTGGTGTCTCAAAAAATAAAGATTAACCAATAAACACAAAACTTTTCAGCATGACTTAGCTTAACTCTGAGACTACCCTTTGCTCCATGCAAGAACAGTAAACGGATTTTGGGTTTTAGGGGGAATGGGGTACACCAGATGGTGCTCAGGGCTTACTCTTGGCTCTAAGATCCAGGGATCACTGTGGGCAGGCAAGGGGGACCCTGCAGAGCTCCAGGTACGGAACCAGGGTCAGCGTATGGAAGGTAAGTACCTTCCCCACTGTATTATTGCTTCAGACCTAGAAAACTTACTTTTAACCAACAAGCAAATACTGTGTTCCTGCTCATCGTGGACTATGAAAATCTCTTACCCTGTAAAACTACTTCAGAGCTCCTTTCTCTCTCACAGATTGGATGCTATTCAGCTCTGAAATACTGGATTAAACCAGTAAAATCATTAAAATTTACTCAGCTGAATTTTGTTCCTTAACAGCTGCTGCTGTTTTTCCTTCAATTTTATATTTCTAACAAGCTTGCAGGAGATGTAACTAGTCAAGGTTCATTGTACTTTGGAAAAAAATTCTGATCCATTTCCTTCCCCAGATCCCTAAGCCATTCTCCGATTCCATTTGTGCATCCTGCAGTTCAAATGTATAGACAGTGTCTACCTAGAGTTAGAAGTCAACCAGATTCTACAGGTTAAAGGCCCTTCTTTCATGACTATCTCCAGATCCCCTCCAGATCCCCTAAAGATCCCCAAAGTTCAGGCTGTCATCTGTTCTTCTGAGTAACTGACTGACGGACTAAGCACTGATTGGAGATTCCTATGACGCCCCCCCCCCAACCTTGGGGTCAATTCATTTTTCATGAATGAAGCACAAAGAAATAATTGATTTACTACATACAAGATTATATAACAGGCTGTAACTTAGGAGCAGCCAAGTAGAAGAGGCACTAGGAAAGGGCAGGGGGGAAGGGGCACAGAGTTTCCATGTCCTTTGAATATGCCTCCCCCTGAGGCTCTACTTGCTCTATAACTGGGAGGCACTCTGTATCTGGCCTTTGCAATTGTACGCAAGTCTCCTTACCTAGGCTTTCTTCAATAGGATTAGTGGCTACTGGTAACTGGATTCAATCTCTACCCCCTCTCCCCTCCGAGGATGAGGAATGAGGATGTCAACAAGCTTATCTTAAGAATTCAAAATAATCACCTCCTGAGACAATAAAAGATCATTCTCATCATAGAAAATACTAAGGGATTTAATCAGCTCTGTTCCAACAATGAAACAAGACCAAATGCACATATCTTATGAATCATAATGCCACGGCCAGTTTCATTACCAAAGTATTCACAATAGGTTCCTGAAGCATTTAGAATAGGCACTTCTGTGAATGAAACATTCCTGTGTTCCTATTTCCCTTCCACCCAGACCAATGCTGTTCAAGTAACCACTGACAGCTGGCTAACCTGGGGAGTGGGAAGGGGAAGGGGAATGACTCTTGTTCGCTGCAGGATGCTCAGCTACACCCATGGCCTCAGCCCACCAGGTGCCAATAGCCTTCCTTCAGGCACGACAACCAGACACATCTCCAGACACTGCCCATTCTGAACGAGACAGCACTGGCTGCTCTGGATCCAGACATTCTAACAGCAGGAAACATGTTCTCTGGTTCCCTCCCTTCCCCGGCCCTGCCTTATACACAGCTGGCAGATGCTGAGGAAGACACCCCAAAGGGAAGTGAACGGAAGTGACTGAAGTCCACGTTACTAGGAAAACTAAAGCATTTCTACTACTTTTCACTAGAAGGAAATTTATATATCTGCCATATTTGGATCCCAAATCAAGAGTCCGAGTTTTGCCCTCCCTTCTGCTGCATGGTTTTGCTTTTTCGAAGTTTTTGTTTTAGGGCCACACCTAGTGATGCTTGGGGCTTACTCCTGGCTCTGTGCTTCTGGCGATGTGTTAGAACCAACTAACACACTGTGAACCAAAGTGCAGCCATTTTAGTTGTGAGCAGCCATTTTGTTATTCTGCATGATTATGTAGCTGACAGCTGAACTGGGCATGAACCCGAGACCACATCTTGGGAAAGGGAACAGAATGAACAAAATTCACAATGCTTGCAGATAGTGCCAGTCAATCGGTAAAAAGAAGGAATCTAGTGGTAGGCCAGGCATGGAAAGAATAAAACAAAGGGGTACAACTGGGGGCACCAACCAATCAGCTTACAGATGAGTTAACAATGTGGTTTTAGGGTACTTATACCCTTCCCTGCAGTTGGTGGGGGTCGTACCCTGACTGACCATCTCTCTATGAGGTCCGGTCAATAGTCAGTCTGAAACCCCTCTCTCTTCTCTCTCTTCCTCTCTCCCTCCTTCTCTCTCTCTCCTTCCCTCTCTTCCTTTCCTTCCCTCTGTTTCCCTCCCTCCCTCCCTCCCTCCTTCTCTCCCTCCCTCTCTCTCTCCGTCTCTCTCTCCCTCCCCCCACCTCTCTCTCTCTCTCTCTAACAACTCTCCTTAATAAAATCTTTGACCTCCACCCACGTGCCTTGGGTTTGGACCACAGACCCTGACAAGTGCTCAGGGGACCATAAGCGATGCCAGGGATCGAATGGAGGCTGCCTGTGTGCAGGGCAAGTGCCTGAACCATGTCTCTGGCCTCTGCACAGTTTTTCTATCTGAAACGAGGCCACAGCCATCCACCTGCTAAAACAGTGCTCAAATTTTATTATACTACTAGAAGCACTATGTCCTTTTACCGTGGAAGTAATTTAAAATTACTGATTATAATCTAAAGATTCTTCAGTGGGCAGTTTTATGTTTTTTGTTGTTGTTTGGGGCTTGGGGTCACACCCAGGTGTGCCAGGATTTGGCTGGGCTCTGCACTCCTGGATCAACTTCAGAACCCTGGTGGGTATCAGGAATTGAACCCAAGTCGGCCCTGTGCAAGGCAAGTACCCTACCCTCTGTACTTTCTCCAGCCCCCAAGCACTGTTTGTCATATTCTTTGAGAGCAAAGCAGAGACTACCACTGGTTATTTTAAGCCATTCAATGCAAAACTGAAACCAGACAGATCTTTACTATATCTTACCAGGAGTGAACAACAACTTTCATGTCAAAAAAGAAAAAAAAAAAACTGTGTTACTTGCTGATGATGGAGAATATGATGTTGTGCCTCCATCTTTGAAAACACTGGTCTATGCTAAAAGAAGCATGCTGGTAAGGTAAGAGTCTGTGAAAAGCTTCTCTTGGATTATACAAGCCCATCAGCGACAGACACTAGCTGTAACTTGGCAGCCACACCTGTAGACAGGCTGTTACACAGGCAAGACTGTGTTCTTTCGGTTTTGTGTGGGGGTCACACCTGACAATCAATGCTCAGGATTACCCCTGGTATTGAGTTCAGGAATTACTCCTGGTGGGCTCCGGGGACCATATTCTATGCCTGGAATCAAATCCAGGTCAGCTCTGGGCAAAGCAAATGCCTATCCTGCTGTACTATCTCTCTGGCCCTACAAGACCGTATTTTAAAAGTAATACAAACTAGGGTAAAATATCTTTTAGTAGATAAACACCAAAGTTAGAAGATTTCAAATGTGGTGAATGTATTAATTCTGACATTATTCCAGGATGAAAAGCCACATACTGAAATGTACACCTTTCTTCTCTGTTGAATGCGGTGACTTGTTTCCTGAAAAGCCGTGTGCTGGAAGGAAGTCTGAGACTGAGTGAGTCTAGACACCAGCTACAAACTGGATCCTGTGCTTCTGGGCCTGTGGCTAGCAGATAGGGCACTCACCTGGGGGCTGGCACCACCCGCTGCGCTCACTTCCTTAGTCTTATCCACTTGCTGGACAAGGAGATCACAGTAGAGCCTCAGTTCCGACATTTTGGTTTTCAGGTTTTCCGTGTTTTCAGCAAACTCTAAGTGACAAAATGATGCTGAGGTGAGTGTCCACCTGAATAACTTAGTCTCTAGTTATTACACCCTGCAGGTAATGGGACATATAATGGGGTGTATAACCATGCCTCACTCCGGTGTCCATAATGGGGGTTAAGGATACAATGGGGGTAAAGGTATGTGAACAAGAACAGGAGAAGAAGCCCAAGCCTTCCAGGTGACAGAGTCCAGCCAACACACTGAGATGACACTACAGCAGGAGAAGGCATACCATGAGCCGCATGGTCTCGTGGAACTGTGAGGGAAGCCAAGGGATTGGGGTTTTGTTCAATTGTGCTGCAGCTGTTGCTACCTGAGAAATGGGTCTGAGCTGTCTGTTATCTCCTCTATGAAAAAACTGCTGAATACCACCCAATCGTTATGTCAAATGTCTGAGTCCGGAGGGTGGCAAGTTTGCTCCTGATTTAGCATTAAAAGAGCAGCAGGAAGGGGCTGTTGCTTGATGGTAGAGTACAGGCCTCACGCCTAAAAAGCAGGAGGCCCTGGACTCAATCTCCGACATCAGGTGAATTACAGGAACCAATGGAGAGGTTTCTTATGCCCCTACCTGGGCAGGTAAACATATCAGTCACACCTGTCATGAAGAAGGTGCCTGAACACTCATCCCCAGAAGCATGTTGTCTTCCACCAACCACACTGGACTGCCCATTACTGCCCGTGCCCCAGGGAGTGGGCATGCAGAGACCAGGGCTCAGACAGGAAGTGGCACTCGACCCAGAACAAACATAAGGAGAGCCACTGTTCTCAGGAGACCTAGTGATTGAGTGGATAAGCATTAAGTGGCAACTAGCTGGCAATTAAGTTCCATCTGGCCTCAGGGAAAGGGATGAGAGAGAGAGAGAGAGAGAGAGAGAGAGAGAGAGAGAGAGAGAGAGAGAGAGTCTGACTGCAGGAAGTTCCCATCTAAGGGTCTTCTGGCTCAGAGCCTCTTTGCCAAAGGTTAATCTTATACCAGATGCAGTTCCAGTTTCCTATCACTAAGTTTCATGGTAAGCTTTCTAATGCTGGATACTATCTCTTCTTAAAGTACACGGAACCGAGGGCCAGAGAAACTAGTAACCTGTGCCAAGTCATGATGTGAACCCAGCTGTTTCTGGCTCTAAAGTCTTCACTCTTTCAACTCCAGTGTACTGAGAAAAATATCAGCTGAAACTTAGCATTTTGATTCCACTGAGCTGTAAAGCATTTGCATGACACATAAAAGCTGACGAGGGGGGCAGGAGCAAAATTATAAATACAGGAGTCACAAGAGGACAGTGGCTGGATCTCAAACCAGAGGACACAGGATACTCGCCTTTCTCCTTCTGGGTCCTACTGTCTGTCAAGCAGGCCTTGGCTGAACCTAGGGCCACCAGCCACCGCTGTCTCTCAGCCACGCTCCTGGCCTTCAGGTAGAAATACTGTTCGCCGGGGATGATCAGATCCATGCGTGTGTTATCTACAGAATGAACTGGGAGCAAGGCAGAGGCAGATTAGAGATGTGGGAGAGAGTACTGAGGGAGAGGGTATTGGGCACCCATCACTAAAAGCGTTGTCCAGGAAAGGATGCTGACCCTCACTTTCTCTCAAGTTTGTTTACTCTTCCTAGACATTTCTTTGCATGAAAGAAGGGAAAAAACTGGCTTCAAGGTAACATAAGTTTGATTTAAAAAAAAGGAACATTGGGGCGAGATGGTACAACAGGTAGGGCACTAGCTTTGCATGCAATCAACCCAGTTCTACCTCTGGCACTATATATGGTTTCCTGAGCATTGCAAGGAGTGATCCTTGAGTACAGAGTCACAGGTCAGCCCTGAGGACTGACTGCTGGGTGTGGCCCCAAACCAACCCTCCCCCTCTCATGGGAACCACCCAATTCTCCTTCCTTAGGATCTCTTATCAGTATGTTAGGAAATTATTCTTTTGGCATGCAAGTGTGTGTGTGTGTGTGTGTGTGTGTGTGTGTGTGTGTGTGTGTGTGTTGGGGAGAGGAGGAGGCATATGTTTTTTTAAGACCAAAAGGACATATGCATATAATATAATATTTTTTGATTTGGGGTTTGTGGTTTGTTTTGGTTTGGTTCGGTTTGGGGCCCATATCCTGCAGTGCGCAGGACTTTCTCCATATGGGATGCTAGGGATCAAATTAGGGTCGACCACATGCAAGGCAAACACGCTACCTCTGTATTATTGCTTCAGCATAGTGTGCTATTTTAAGGCCAAAAAAGGAACACACTGAAAATAAGAATATATCTCTTTGGGTTTACTGGGAAGCAATAAAAAAAAACCACATTATTTTGGGTTTATTCTTTATCTCTTTGGAAAGTAATTAAAAAAAAACCACATCATTCTTCTTCACATTATTTTTCTTCTTCGATTTTTCTTGACAAGTCTGCTCAAAACTGTATGAATTTCTTTCTCTTCAGGGACAAAGAACAAGCAAACCATACCTGCCCCACCACCACCCTGAACATTTCCTGTTGAACACTTCTCGGCATGTTTCAAGAGTCCCCAGACCAAGAAGCAAACAGCTATTTGTAGACACACTGGGAGCTTTGAGTGTGTGTGTTGGTGGTGAGGAGTAAGTGTGCTCTGATGTAAACACAGATGTCTCTAAAGCGGATGGAAAAAGGCTTCCAGAAGCTTTGCAAATAAGCCCCTGGGGCCCCAGAGAGCAGGTGACTAAGGAAGAAGCACTGGATGTTGTGTTTGAGTACGTGGCTCTAATGAACTGTGAAGGTCTCTTAACACGCCACCTGGAAGACAAGGGCGGGAGTATTAGGTTTCCTTCGCCAGATGCTATTTGGGGACATAAAGCTCGGAGTCTATGTCTATATGAGGGGCACAGCAGAGGTCTGCAGAGACTTGGGTTTTACGTGTTTGAGGCGGAGGCAGAAAAGAAATCTGTAAGTCTCTCACCTTGGATTTCACAGACGGCCATTTGGATGCTCCCCTTGCAGCCCTTCCAGGCGTCTTCAGGAGAATCATAGTAGGACAATATCCCCCCACAAAGAAGGAACCAGCGAGGCTGCCAACCTGCAAACAGAAGAGCATGGCACAGGTGAGGGGGATCCTGGGACACAGGCAAGGATCCAGCAGAAGATGCCGAGTGCTTGCTCCAAGAAGAAATTACATTAGCTAGAGGGGAATGCTAATGCATGAGAAAGAGGGACCCTTCTGAAGAATCACTAAACACATACTCAGTGATGATTCTTTAGGTAACTGTATCATCTGTGATTCTTACTCCCTCTGTCCCTAATACTTAGAAACTTATGGTTCTTAAATTTTCTAAATTAAATGATTATTATTTACTGAAGCTTCTCATTATCATTTGCTGGTTCTCCTCCTTTCTGGTCAAGAAAAACTACCCCATGGGGCTGAGAGACAGTACAGAGAGGTGGTGCATTTGCCCTATATACTGCCAACCTGGTTCAATCCTTGACACCCAATGTGGTCCCTCAGCAGTGTCAGGAGTGATCCTTGAGTACAGAGCCAGAAGTAAGCCCTAAGCACAGCCGGATGGGACCCCAAACCAAAAATACACCAAAAACTAAAAAAGGAAAAATGTTTTTAAAAATTTTATTTTTAAAATTTTAGCGAAACACCATGAGGTACAATTGTAGACTTACAAATTTTTGTGCTTGGGTTTCAGTTATACAATGATAAAATCCCTCCACCAGTGCCCATTCTCCACCACCACTAATCCCAATATCCCTCCCACCCCCAGTCCCCCCAATCCCACCCTGCCTCTGTGGCAGGGCATTCCCTTTTGTTCTCTCTCTCCTTTTGGGTGCTGTGGTTTGGAAAGGTAAAAAAGGAAATTTTATTTAAAAAAAAAGAAAAATTAAAAATTATCCCACACTTAGAAGTGAAGTAAAATGGTTATATGGTCTTTCAACACCAATCTCTGCAGCAGGTGCTGGGCTGTGGTGTCTGCCTGAAAAGGTCCCATGAGCCCAGGGAAAAGGTAAGTGAACGAAGAGAACAAGGTCACTGGAATGGATGATCTTAATGTTCAAGGGCACAACTATTTTTACTTCCGTTTCAAGGCGCAAACAATGAACAGCAGAAACATGCAACTCCTTTAGCCTCCACAGCACACTGAAGTGCCGCATTCCTCAGCTTCTGCTGGAGCTGGGGCTTCCTGCAGTGCCACCCCGAGTACCTGTGCGTCACCCCCACCCGTCCCCTCCCAGGCTGCTGTGCTCTGAACCGCCACCTTCCTTTCATTTTTGGCTCACTGATGCCAAAAATGGTGCCAACTTTTTGAGGGTTGTTTTTGGCGGGTGGAGGTTTTTGTTTTGGGGGGAATGAGGGAATGTTGGTCTCCCAAGCAGTGATCAAGAGACCCAGGGATTCCAACCAGCAATTCTTGGCCAACCAGGCTGGCAGCTCACTGTGGGGGTCTGAAGGTGTGATGCTGCTTGTGTCCCGCAGTGCCAGAAATCACCCAGGTCACCCCTGCACTCGGAGCAGGGGCAGGGAGGCGGGCTCCAAGCCACACCTGGCAGTATACCCACAATGCTCAGGGAACCATGTGGTATTAGGGATTGAACCAGAGTTCACTGCATGTTAAGGCAAGTTCCTTAGCCTGTGTTTATTGCTCTGGCCCAAAGTCTTAAGTTTTAACAGGACAGTATCACACTTCCGGGAGCACCTTCAGTCTAAGATCGTGGGAAAGGGTAACTCCAATTCGAGGGCTTAAGGGGCCGTCCCTAGATCCAGGAACAAGGTGACAGGTGAGATGTCTCACTCACCCTTCACTGTCAAGGATCTAGATACGCAGGTCTGTCGGAAACCATTCCTTGCAGCTCCTTACACAAAACCGAATCCAAGACTCAACACCCAGCCTCTAATAGTTCAGAGAGCTAAATTATTTCTGGTATATCCTACCACAAAAGCCTTTCTCACCAAAGACAAGCAATTTTCTAAAATAGTGGCTCTTGTTCCCAGAGGTCAACAAGACAGGGGGCCGGGATTAGAACAGGACCTGAGACATGTGAGTATGCTCTACCACTGGGTTCATACATCTGAGATTTTACAAGTGGATGTATGGCCACAATCACACTCTTGTTATATTTTATATTGAGAACCCAACTCTTCCCTTCCTTCCCTCCCCTCTCCCCTTCCTTTCCCTTTTCTTTTACTTGGGGGAGAGGGGCGGGAACGGGGAGGGGCGGCGGGGGGGTGGGTTAGAGTGGCATGCCTGGCAGTGCTCAGGGTTTATTCCTGGCTCTGCATTCAGAGATCATTCCTAGCAGGGCTTTGGGGACAATATGGGGGTCTGGGCATTGTAACTGCATCGGTCTCATGCCAGACAAGTGCCCTATCTGCTATACCACTGCTCCAGCCCACTTTGAGAATTTCTATCCCAAGAAGGCAGCTAGGGGGCTGGAGCAATAGCACAGCAGGTAGGGCGTTTGCCTTGCACATGGCTGACCTGGGTTCGATTCCCAGCATCCCATATGGTCCCCTGAGAACCGCCAGGGTAATTCCTGAGTGCAGAGCCAGGAGTAACCCCTGCGCATTACCAGGTGTGACCCAAAAAGAAAAAGAAAAAAAAACAAAAAAAGAAGGGAGCTAGACCCTTTGTTAGATGACAGGAACCCCTTATCTCTCAGCACCAATGCAAGTTAACTACCGGCCAGTTAAACTCTTGGGAAGAACTTGTGAATGGCAACGCTTCCTGACCCTGGCTTTAAGTTCTGTGGAAACACAAAAAGCCGTAGTTCTAAGAGCAAGCATTTCAATGTAGGAAACCACTGTGGTCATCAAATTTTACCTTGATCAGAGAATCAGCATTCCTAAAACTAGGCATTGCTGGTGATAATTTACCTTCATAAGGGAGTCTGATTTTTTACACCTTGGCTACAGAAGAGTTCATTCTTAAGAACTTGAGAAATGGAAGAGACCTCAAAATCACGAAATCCAACCAGCTCATTTTCCACACAAGAAACAAATGTGATTCCACAACTTACTTAAGGAAATGGGTGGAGTATGTAACAGAAAAACTAAATCTCTACATGGCTTCTCCAGGCATCATGATCCCACGCTCTTCCTGTTTCCGGAGAGTGATTCTGACACAGGCTCGGAGGATCCTTTCTTTTACAGCTCAACTTCCCTAACTCAAATGGTATTAAAGTTCCCCAAACCCAGTAGGACTTGTGGGTATGAGGAATTCAGCGGTCCTTGCAATCACTATATTTTGTCAAATTTAGGATAGGTTCTCTAGAGAAAGGAGAGATGACAGCATATTTGTACATACAGATGTGCATGCTATGTCTGTATCAGTCCATATATTCACACTAAGTTCATGGAATTCTGCAGGATGAGAACTCCCGAGATCCACAGCTGACAGGCTGATGTGCAGCTCCAGCTCCCTTCGGAAAGTCAGCAGACTCAAGGCCCAAGGAGAGCTGATGCTCTGGTCCAAGTTCAAGTGCAGGACAAGGCCAATGCTCCCTCCTCCGACAGTTCTCTCTTATTTAGAATGGGGCTTTAACTGGGTGAGACCCTCTCTCATTACGTAATGCAAGTGACTGTCTGGCAGCTAAATTTAATCTTCTCGAGACAAATTCACAGACACATCCAGAATGATACCAAATGCTGGGGCACCCCAGAATCCAGACAAGTTAACTTACAAAATTAACCATAAGGCCAAAGAGAGGAGGCACCTGCTGTTACTCCCTAGTTCAAATCCCTGGTTTAAATCCCTGGTTCCCGCATCTGGTCCTCCCGGGGGTCACTCCCAAGCCCAGAGCCAAGAAAACCTCCTGAGAACTGCCAGGTGGAGCTCCAAAACCACAGGAACAACAAAATCACCACCATCAACTGTAAGGCATTTTATAACCTCATGTAACACTAATGGAAAAAATATAACTGGCTCAGTGAGTAATGATTTGAAATTGATTCTAAGATGCCTCCTTACTTCAGTTACTGAAATGTAAAGAAAGTCTTAAAATGAAAAATATGTGGGACTAAACTAGGTTTATCTTACAGGAATCCAAAATATGTACAACAGATCTCCCTATTCCACATGCACACAGAGCCCAGCTGCAGCTAGAAACAAGAGCTACTGAAACAATTCCTTTTAAAAAAAAAAAACTCTTTTATTGAACCACTGTGATACAGATCATTACAAAGCTGTTCATAATTGGATTTCAGTCATACAGTATTCCAACACCCATCTCTCTACCAGTGTACATGTCCCAGCACCAGTGTCCCCAGGTTCCCTCCCATCACTCCCCACCCCCATCCCCACCTGCCTCTATGGCAGACACTCTCTCTCTCTCTCTCTCTCTCTCTCTCTCTCTCTCCTTTCTTTCTCTCCTTCCCTCCCCCACCCTCTCTCTTCCCCCTTCCCTTTTGGGAAACAATGCCTTTTGGCTCAGCAGTCACCTAGAAGTTACCACACTAGAGAAAGCTTGCTCTACTGCTTTCATTCTACAAAACTACTACAAAACCCATGATTAAAAAAAAAAAAAAAAACCATTTCCTTCAAGTTCCTGGAATCTGCTGGCACAGAAAGGGACGGAAGAAATCTCCATCCTGTTACATGAGACCCCAAATCATTGAGAGACAGCTCCTCCACATTCTTCTCTCTCACAAGGACCAGTGCTGGGAACTCAGACACCAGCCCAGGGATGGGGCATCAGATGAGCAGATAATGAAGAGGCCCTTAACCTGCTTCCTGTTCTAGATTAATCTTTAATTACCGTGGGAGGTTAATTTTTTTCTAATCTTAATTGACTGACATGGCTAAGAAATTCCCACGGAGCTGGTAGAACATGATTTCTGGATGTGTCTATGATGGGTTCTCAAGAGAAGATCAGTGTTTGAATCAGCTGACCGGTGAATAGATCGCCCTTACCAATAGTGGCACACAGCATCCAAAGGGCCCGAATAGAACAAAATTAGGGAGAAGCAGCATTCCTTCTGAAACACTAGCACTCTCGTTTATAGATTTCCGGACTCCCACCAAACAGCTTCTGGCTTCTCAGGCCTTTGAATATGGCCCAAATTCTATCAACAGTTGT